ACATTTCTCGAATGGCTTCGTAGGGGTGACTGTGATAACTAGCGGCATTTTAGTTTTCTGTCTTAATTTGTTTTTCTGGCAGAATTCGCATTTCGCAATATAACTCTCGACGTCTTTATTTAGACCGTGCCAGTGGTGTCGTAATCTGATGCGGTGTAGTGTTCGCGCGACTCCCTGGTGGCCGCCTAACGGAGCGTCGTGATATTCGTACAGTATCTGCTCCTTTTCTTCCGCAGAGTATTCTCGTTGTTCTCTTTCTTCTTCTTCTTTTCCGGTGTCTACGTGATAAATCGGTTTTTTAATTTCCGCGGGGTAACGGCTCAATGCGTCGGCGTTGACATTGCTCTTTCCTGCCTTGTGGACTATTTCGTAGTCGTATTCCTCTAGTTTGAGTCTCCATCGAATCAATCGTGAACCGGGGTCGGTTACGTTAAATAGCCATATCAGTGGCTTATGGTCTGTAATTATTTTAAACTTTGTGCCATACACGTAAGGTCGGAAATGTTTGACTGCCCATACGATGGCTAGTAATTCCTTTTCGGTAGTGTTAGAGAGTGGAAATGTACTCTGCGGATTTCGTTCGTACCGATCTCGATAGGGGCGCGCGAGCGGCTAGTCAGTCGTCGTCAAGTGGCCGTCGAGTTAAGATGGCGTAAGAGACACGGCTTGTAAGGCGAGCAGGTTTGATCGCCAAGGGAAATTATTGGAATAAATACGCATAAACACAAACCGGCTAGTCAATCATATACACGAACATTTTGGCGCATCAGCGACAGGCAACGGACCCAGCCAGACACACGTACACAGGTACATCGGTACCTACGGGCGCACGCATACGTGCACACACACAGGTACATCGGTACACACGGGCGCACGCACACGCGCACACACAGTACATCGGTACACACGGGCGCACGCATACGCGCACACACAGGTACAGCGGTACCTACGAGCGCACGCACACGCGCACACACGATACATCGATACATACGGGCGCACGCATACGCGCACACACAGCTAGTACATCGGTACATACGGGCGCACGCATACGCGCACACACGATACATCGATACATACGGGCGCACGCGTACGCGCACACACAGCTAGTACATCGGTACATACGGGCGCACGCATACGCGCACACACGATACATCGATACATACGGGCGCACGCATACGCGCACACACAGCTAGTACATCGGTACATACGGGCGCACGCATAGGCGCACACATACAGTACATCGATACATACGGGCGCACGCATACGCGCACACACGGGTGTACATACGAGCATACCAGATACACATACGGCCGCGTACCTATACACGCGTACGCAAACAAGTCGAAAAACGGCGGCATCAGGTTAGCGAGTCGCTTACTCATTACGTTACGGTATTTCCGCTTGTGAAAACTGCGCATCAGGCAACATGCCTGAGATGTTTCAAGAAAAGCAGAAACGGGCCCGTGTCAAGGGACAAGTCACAAGGATACACACGTTCCTCGAGTCGAATCCGAACTGCACGGCGGCGGAAGCTCAGGTTAGGTTAGGTTGACGAGGTTAGAAAACTTCTGGAACGCATTCGAAGGTATTCAGCAGGCCTTAGAGGGCATAACAATCAAGGATGAAAAACAAGCTATTATGCAACAGCGGCGAAGCTGCAGCGCATCATCGATGAGGGGAAGCAACCAAAGGACATCGGACAACAACCAACGGGCAGTAATCAGGTTCCGGAGGACGTCATACAGGTCACTCCTGCAGTGAGAAGAAACAAGCCGAAGCTCCCGGAGATCAAGCTCCCGGAATTCAACGGAGAGTACACTAAATGGCTCTTTTTCAAGAACAGCTTTGAGACAACAGTACACAACGACGGAGACCTATCCGGTCCACAGAAATATCAATATCTCGTAGGAGTATTGACAGGCGAAGCACGTAAGGTTATGGAAGGCTTCAGTAGTGAAAACTATGAGCAGGCATGGCAGTTAGTGAAGAACACATACGACAACGAAATGATGATCATCGACACACATTTGGAAGAGCTTTTCAAGTTTCCGGTTATTGTAAAGGACGATAAGGCGGATTCAATGAGACAATTAATATGGCACATTCAGACACATATGTCATCTTTAAGGTCGTTACATCAACCTGTGGACCATTGGGACACCATAATTATCCACCTGGCAAAAAGGAAGTTGGAATACACGGAACAACGAGATTGGCAGAATTGCATTAAGGAGCGTACGCCTCAAAACATGCCAAAATTGGAGGATTTTGTTAAATTTATAACAGAACGCTGTCACACATTAAGAATGATTAATCAAGCCAAACCAGCGAAGCTCAAACCATCAGCGGTACCAGACAAGAAGGCGAAGAAGGGAGTAGTCCTGACATCAACGCCAGCTCAATGCAAGATATGCAGCGGCGGGCATCAAGCGTTTCGATGCGACGAGTTCATCAAATTGTCTCCTGAAGAGCGCAAGAGGCGTGTTTTGGAGAAGAAACTATGCCTTAACTGTCTCAACTCAGGGCATCAAGCAAAGGACTGCAAGGCATCAGCGTGCAGGAAGTGTTCGGGTAGACACAACACAATGTTACATAAGGAAGAAACAAAGAAGGCTGAAGGCGACGAAGCTGCAGTAACGCCAGTTGTTACACATTGCAGTAATTCACAGAAGACAGTGAAGAATTGCGGTGGTGGTAAAACGCACACTCAGGTTGTTTTGTCCACTGCTCAGGTATATGTTAGAGACGGCATGGGAAGCAGGATTAGATGTCGCGCATTGTTGGATCCAGGATCACAACTAAATCTGATGACTACCGACCTTTGGCGGAAGCTGAAATTACCTTGGACGAAGGAGGACATTCCAATAAGTGGCATCAGTCAAGTCCAAACAAACGCGAGAAGACGACTCAACTCAGGGTGGAGTCCGCATATAATGATTTCGCCATGGTAATGAACTGTCTTATATTACCTACGATCACAGTGCAAATCCCACAACAGAAGATCGAACCGAATGAAATATCCCTGCCTAGGGGTATACAACTTGCGGACCCGGATTACTGTAAGCCGGGAAAAATCAATCTGCTCATAGGAGCGGGACCCTATTGGAAACTACTCGTTGGATCCCCGGAAAATCAAGTCGACGGCCAGCCTTCCCTACAGGATTCTAAATTGGGTTGGATCCTTGGCGGGGAGCTACGCAATCGAAGCAACAGTTCAAATTGCTCATCAGCGACATGTCTCACCATTACGAACGATCAACTGAGTCAACAGGTTGAGCGTTTTTGGAAAATAGAGAACATCCCCGAAAGTAAGCATTACACCAAGGAAGAGAGGGAATGTGAGAAGCATTTCTCCGAGACTGCACACCGTATGAAGAACGGTAGGTTCGTAGTGCGGCTGCCAATGCGTTCGAACGTCCAACTTGGAGAATCCAGGAATCAAGCACAACAAAGACTAGAAGCTCTCGAACGAAGATTGCTACGGGATTCAGAATTGGAGAAGGCATACTACAGCTTTATGGAGGACTACCAGAGGAGTGGTCATATGACTCAAATTTTCGAAGGGGAAATAGAACAAGCAAGGGAAGTATACTACATTCCTCATCATGCAGTTGTCAAACCAGACAGTTTGACTACAAAGTTGCGAGTGGTTTTTGATGCATCCGCAAAGACGACATCCGGTGCATCACTCAACGATAAGCTTCTACCAGGACCGAACCTGCAAAGGGATATCTTTAAAATCTTGCTACGATTCCGGACGCATCAATACGTTATCACAGCGGACATCGCTCAAATGTTCCGACAGATACTGGTCGACACACGAGATAGAGCACTACAACTAATATTATGGAAACCAAACCCAAGGGAAGTGACGAGGATATACCAACTAAATACAGTAACGTACGGTATGGCAAGCGCGCCGTATCACGCCATGCGGTGTCTACAAGAACTGGCAACTCAACATCAAGACCAATACCCGTTAGCAGCACGTGTAATAAAGGAAGATTTTTACATGGATGACGTTCTCACCGGAGGACGGACGTATCAGGAAGTTATGATATTACAACAACAGCTATACGAGCTTCTGAAACAAGGGCAATTTTGGCTCCGAAAGTGGCGCTCAAATGAGTCAAGCATTCTGCAACATCTAGCGGATTGTGAGACTGGCGAGCTGTTCACGATTGATAAGGACGCAGTTAAAACGTTGGGACTACTTTGGGATTCATCGCGAGATAGGCTACTACACGAAACGGATTTACCTAGGCAGAAGCACTTCACGAAGAGGACCGTATTGGCACGGATATCGCAAATTTTTGATCCGTTAGGCCTGGTTGGGCCTATATTAATAACGGGCAAAATCTTCATGCAAAGGTTATGGACCGAGGACTTGCAGTGGGATCAGACGCTTCCCCACCATTGTTTGACTGCCTGGGACGATTTTGCTTAAACTCAATACGTTGCAGATACCTCGAAACGCTAATCACAATAACAGTTCGAGCCAATTTGATTTGTTTGGCTTCGGAGATGCTTCCCAGAGTGCCCTGGGAGCATGTTTATATGTCGTTTATTCAGATGAAGATGGTGACTTACATTCACACATTCTCTGTGCTAAGTCCAGAGTGGCACCATTGAAGACCCTTTCGTTACCACGATTGGAGCTGGAAGCAGCCCTGCTCTTATCACAATTGTATGCCACTGTTAAGGCAGCTCTGGTTGGAAGAATTCGGCAAATTCACTTGTGGAGTGACAGTACGATCGTACTCGGTTGGCTCAAGATGGAACCGCATACACTCAAGACCTTCGTGGCCAATAGAGTGGCTAAGATTCAAGAATTGACGGAGGAGGCGACTTGGGCACATGTGCCTTCCGACGAGAATCCTGCGGATCTACTGTCCCGGGGGACTACAGTCGCGGACTTGCGGACTAACGCTCTCTGGTGGAACGGACCACCCCTTTGGATCAGGGAGGGCGATCAACAACCCAAGCGCATGCAGTTACCGGAAACAAATCTACCAGAGATAAAGACATCGGCAGTGGCTCTGATAACCACGCAGTCTGTGAACTCATTGTTGCACAGATACTCATCATTCAGCAAGCTGTGCAGAATCATTGCATACTGTCGCAGGTTTTTCACCAGATGCAAAGGAGATAAATCGACGGATATTAACCAAAGAAACGCTCAATCCTTAGATATCGGCGAGATAAGCAAGGCAAAAACGATAGTGCTTAGGTGGGTCCAGGAAGAGGAATTCAAACCTGAGATGCAATGTTTGAAGAAGGATCGTGTTCTACCTCGGAAGAGTCCACTCCTTTCACTTTGCCCATTTGTCGACAAGGACGGATTGATTCGTGTTGGCGGCAGACTGAGACATGCAAGCCTACCTGAAGAACAGAAGCATCCAGTAATCTTGCCCAGGAACCATCACATCACTGGGCTCATCATGCGAGAGGAACATGAGAAGATGCTACACAGCTCACCAGAACATTTATTACATCACGTTAGGCAGCGATACTGGCCTATAAGCGGCCGAAGATTAGCTCGGAAAACAGTAAAGGGCTGTATACGATGTTTTCGCTACAGGCCAGTGATCCCGGATACCCTTATGGGTGATCTGCCAAAGGAGCGCATCACGATGGTTGCACGACCGTTCACAGTAACCGGTGTGGATTACGCCGGTCCCTTTCAAATGCGTGAAAGTCGACGACGTGGTCGTATACACGTGCAAAAAGTGTATGTGGCGGTATTTGTCTGTTTTAATACCAAGGTGGTGCATTTAGAAATGGTAACCGACCTCACCACGGAGGCCTTTTTGGCTGCACTCGGCCGTTTCACAGCAAGGCGGGGAACATGTGCACAATTGTTCTCCGACAACGGAACGAACCTGGTCGGAGCGGCGAGAGAACTGCGCAGGGTTCAAGAGTTTTTGGAAAAAACGGAACCGGAAATAACCTCTTTTCTGAATACACAACGAATTTCATGGAGTTTTATCCCACCAAGGGCTCCTCACTTCGGCGGATTGTGGGAGGCTGCCGTCAAAATCATGAAGAGGCACCTTTACACGATTACTCAGGGGAGAATTCTTACGTTCGAGGAATACTACACACTGATCACCAGCATTGAAGCCATGTTAAACTCCCGACCTTTGACTCCCTTGACTAATGATCCTTCTGACCTTAACGTTCTTACTCCTGCTCACTTCCTTATTGGAGATCCACTCATGCAACCAGTTCAAGTCAATTATCTTGATACTCCCAATAATCGTCTTTCTCATTGGCAGCAATTACAAAAGGTTCGTCAATTGATGTGGCGACGCTGGCAGCAAGAATATCTACAAGAATTACAGAAACGAGGCAAGTGGACCACTCCGGGTGTCAACATTGAACGAGACACTCTGATCTTACTCATGGAGGATAATACACCACCGCTACGATGGCCGATGGGCAGAGTGGTTGAAACTCACCCCGGAGCAGACGGTCAGATCCGAGTGGTAACGGTGAAAACGCAGACGGGATGTTTCAAGAGATCAGTGAGGAAAATGTGTCCCCTGCCATTGGAGGATTGTGATACTTAGACCATATAAGAATTGTTACACGTTAGTCTATGCGGTTTCAGTTCTGTTTAATTAATGTATACGTTTGTTTCATTCACCTGTTTATCTTATTATACGTTGACTGATATAGTTTTATTAAGCGCTAGGCCACTCAGTTTTATTAAGCGTCAGGCCACTCAGTTTGTTAAGTACTAGGCTACACCGTTTAAGTTCTCTTTAATTACTTACGTTTCGTTTACATGTTTATTTTCATTACCGTTTGTTCAGTACAGATTAAGCGTGCGGCGCTAGTTATAAGGTATTATTTTATAGTTGAAGGCAAACCCTTCAAGGCGCCCCGATATGTTAGAGAGTGGAAATGTACTCTGCGGATTTCGTTCGTACCGATCTCGATAGGGGCGCGCGAGCGGCTAGTCAGTCGTCGTCAAGTGGCCGTCGAGTTAAGATGGCGTAAGAGACACGGCTTTTAAGGCGAGCAGGTTTGATCGCCAAGGGAAATTATTGGAATAAATACGCATAAACACAAACCGGCTAGTCAATCATATACACGAACAGGTAGTGTTGTAATTTTGCTCTGCTCGCGATAATACGCGGCTGGCGTATGCGATGGGTCGGTCTTGACCTACCGTGCCTTGAGATAGAATTGCTCCGATGGCGTAATCTGACGCGTCGGTCGTGACGATGAACTCGTCGCTGAAGTCCGGGTATTTTAATACTGGGGCTGTTGTCAGCGCTGTTTTTAATTGATCGAATGCATTCTGTTGCGCGGTGGTCCACTCGAATTTTTCTCCCTTCTTTGTTAATTTTGTCAATGGCTTGGCTATTTTC